TGGAAGTTTATGGAATGCTGCGAAATGAATCCTGTTCACTTCACGCTTTCGACACGTTTCCACGTGTTGACTCCACGCCGCTAATACTTGTGGAAGTTTGCAGCGGGAATTCAAATTTTTTATAGTCGAACTGGTTATCATAATTTTTATAAACCATCGCCTTAGGTTACGTTCTTTTTGCTACCTTCATGAGGCAGGAGGCCTAAGTGATCGTTTTTTTTGTAGGAATGAAGGCGATGCTTTTCCGTGGAAGATTCCTTTAAGTCATACAGGATGGAAGGTAAAGGTGAGATACTGCCGACCTCCTATGTAATCTCTAGACCCTGAAAAAATTTAAATAATTTCACGACTTTGAGTGAAATCCTATCGTGGTGTACATTTCACAGGTTACCGGTAACATGCGAAATTTCTTTCTCTAGTTGCTTAACCTCATTCTCGGGAAAGCGGCAGACATATCCTTACTGTGAATGATTGAGGGGTAAGAGACAGAAGTATAGCCGCACAGCTGTATGATTGAATCTCTCGGGACATAAAGCGGTTGTTTTGAGCTACTAGCCATCAGATTCACTAGGAGATCAGCGTAGTGGGCGATTCTCGAAGCAAACCAATAAGATTAATAACGTGCAACGATGGCAGAGATCAATTTCAAACCTTGTGAATTGCATCCAACGATAAACTCTTGTCAATAAATTTCGTATTGCTGGCCACCAATTCCATTGAAGACGTGAACTGCTTCACGAAATCTTCCCATGTGAAAGTGCTCGAGAGAATCCTTATATCTAAACACAAAAGTGTATCTATAAATAATCAGCGTTTTCGTTGTTGTCATTTCTATTTTTGTAAAGAATGACTCTTTCCTGTAACCCCTAACCCGTTTGAATCTCTTTATTTGGGCTTGCTTCAAAACAGAAACCATTGCTAACAGGTATCCCACTCGCACTACACAACGGAGACATTCCCTTAAAACGTTGTCAAGCGCCGTTATGTGCATATCTACCCTTCTGTTTTTGCAATTTTTCATCATTAGTTATTAATTGGTCAATAACTTCTTTACCTATCATAAGTGTGCTATTATCTGTATGCTATAGTATACCTGGACAGGTCTGGAACTTGAAAATGGAGACACAAATAACGAAACAAAAGGAGTTTCCCCGTGAAAGTTATGTGTCGCACGTTCCCGTCAATGAATTAAGTATCCAAAATCGATTCGATCAACCTACATCACCGACCGTTCAACTCTGCCTCTTCAGATGCGAGGTTCACATCTAGCTGGAATCAGGTACTGCTTTGAATTGAAATCTTCAATAGTTATGATACCAGTTGGCGCCGCACGCATTGCGCGCAACACAGATCTGCGGCGAATTTTGATGGTGCGACGAAAATTTTCAAATTTGGCTTGATACACCACGAATATCTGAATTCTCAGCTAAATTCTATCCGCTCCATCATCGACGGCTTTCAACCTCTTTTCTTCGTCAACCATTATCCTCTTTTTCCCGGTCTCCGGACTGCTTCCGGACAATAAATCTCGTGGCAAACTCCGCCTACTTCGGTGCAGCCCCACCCATTCTGGGCGGGC